ATGCTGTCCGCATTATAACACCAAAATGGTTGTGGGAGACTTCATCGCAAACGTGGGTAAAGAAGGTATCTTTGGTGCTACTGTCAGCCTTCACACAATTCAGCCTTCACACAAAAACTTCTGATAATGGAAGAAGGCTGATTGATTTCGCGCGGCTAGGAACATGGTGGTTAGTAGTACCAGATTCCAGCATCCCAACATACACAAGGCAACATGGCTGTCACCTAATTAAAACACAAGATCTGAAATTGATCACGTTGTGGTAGACGAAAGGCATGCTTCCAGTGTCTTGGATGTACGAACTATCCGAGGAGGCAGCAGCCAAGATCCGCACACGTTTATGTGCAATAAAAAAGGGTACGTGAACAGGCACAGCGAAAGCTAGACGTCGAGAAGCTGCAATCACAACAGACAATTAATGACTTTGCTACTCAACTATACCAGTACCTGGAAAATTTATCTGAACAAACCGATATATGCGCACAATGGAACTACATCTCCAACTATATGCGTACCGCTGCAGAAGAGGGGATCGGCTATCAACTTATACAAAGAAACAGCTGGTACGACCAAAAGTGTCGTAACAATACCGCAATTCTGCGGTCAGTTGTGACGCGCGCTGATAAAGAACAATATCGGCAAAAGAGAAGAGAGGACAGGCTGGGCGACAAGATTATTGCTCGAAAATTAAGCAAAAAATTAAAAGCCTGACAAATGGTTATAAATCTGGAGATAATTCCTACAAAGATGAAAATGGTAATCTAGTGATAGATGTCCAAAGCATGCATAACATTTGAAGAGATCACTTCTCGAACATATTAAATGGCGGTAGTAGCAATGTGACTGAAAACGAAAATTATCCCGAATTTGCAATCTTTGACGATGAAATAATCGTCCCGTCTTCTGATCATAATAACGTTAAAACAGCCATAATAGGGCTAAAAATAACAAAGCTGCAGGCGCCGATGATTTACCGCCTGAACTGTTTAAATCTGGTGGTGAAGAGCTATTAAAATGCATGCTACTACGCCAACCATCGCTGAATCAGTCTTTTAAATATCTTAAATATGGTTCTGTCAAACATACTACGTAAAAAATTGAAGCTAATCGTCAACCAACTGATTTGACCTTGTCAGTGTGACTTCAGACCTGACAAATCCATCCCAGATCAGATATTCATAGTGCGTCAAATTTTGGAGAAGTCCCAAGAAAAACAAATCGACACATACCACCTATTTGTCGATAACACAGCTGCTTTCAACACTTCGACTGGAAGCCCTCTCTATGTTACTATGTCTGAATTTGGTGTCCCAGCAAAACTTATGCGGCTATGTAAAATGATGTTAAGCAACACGACCAGCTCCGCTAGAATAGGGAAGAATCTCTCCGATCCGTTTGATACCAAACGAAGTTTCAGTCAGGGTTATTCCTTGTCTTGTGACTACTTTAATCAAATGTTGGAAACGATAATTCGAGCTTTAAACCGCACTGGCACAATATTCTACAAAAGTGTTGTTAATGAAATAACTCCTTATTGAAAAGCTGAGTTTCCAGCACTTGAACTGAAACTCTAAAATTTTGAATTAAAGAGATCGAATATTGATTCAATCTGATTTTTATTAAATTAAATTTTGCCTTAAATACTAAATTATTACAAATTATTACAATAACAATATCTAAATTTTATTCTTTTCCTTTACCGTTTTCTTGCCCAAAGTGCAAGCTCGGCATATATTATGCAACCAAATTCTTTGTTGTGTCTAGCAACCAAGAATTAATGCCAATGCACTGGCCTTCATATATGTTACATTAGGGTGGCTCACGTTATAAGGGGGAAAATTAAAAATGAAGTTTTGAATGAGCGCACCCCCTAGAAATATGCCATTGACCAAAAAAATGATATTTCCAAAGTTTTGGACCAATAGGATTAAAAATGACGTTGCGCCACTCGAGCAAAGTTGGGTTTTCAGTACAAAAAACAGAAATTTTTCATTTCAAGGTCATTTTTTATCTTTTATCTTATTTCAACAGTTATTAATATATACTCATTTGATAGATAATTAAAATATCTTTTTAATAAGATACGGATGAGCAAAATCGGTTAAGAATTATGCGCAAAACACAATAATTAGTTGAGCAACTGTGCTCTGTTTTCTATTTCTATTACCTTTTAGCTGGCATGCACAATTATGTAATAGGTATGGTATATGCTACGATTTAGTTAACTATTTATAAAAAATTATAATTTCAAGAAAACCCTTTTTTTCAGTAATTAATATATTGTGTTTATTATGTTAGGATATGTGTAGGATATGTGAAAGATAATTTTTATGATAATGTTCGACTACTTGCAAAACATATTGTTTTCCCTCTTCATATTTTGTCAAAATCGAATTATAATCCATCATAAGCCTAATTTCTCTTTCTATACAATCATTTATCATATCAAGTCTGGCACAGAATTCAAGTGCATCTCTATAATCTTGCGTCTCCATCCATGGCGAAGGATCGAAACTGATAAAACTATTAGATAGGCAAAAACGATCAAAAAAATTTGTTATCTCTTCGGTCACGAAATCAATAAGGTTCTTTGAGGAAAATTACTTCATTAGTGGGTTCCCACTCTTTATCTAACCAGAGATAGCTGGAAGCTTGGATCTGTGACCGGTAACTCTACAGTTACTATCTACGCAGATGGCTCAAAGATGGAAGGCAGTACGGGAGCAGGTATCTTCTCGAAAGATATGCAGATAAGACAGTGCTACCGAATCCCTGCTACTTACAGCGTCTATCACGGCGACATACAAGTTATCGAAAAAGAGGTCAACATTAGACAACAAAGTACAATTCGTCCTTCGAATTTCACGATTTTTGTAGATAGGCCGCACTGAAAGCAATTGAATCTAAATTGCAAGATAGTATTAAAATGTTGCGATTCACTGATGAGCATCAAACATCATGAGGTCTCTCTTTGCTGGACATAGTACATTTCGAATACTTGGACATAGCAATATTGAAGGGAATGAACTAGCAGATGAGATGGCCAGAAGAGGTTCTGAACTTCATACAGGAGAGGCCGACCTCAGAATACATACACCGATATGTAAACCGTATAGGATAATAGAGAAAATCAATACGGTGACTAACAATTTATAAACTAACCGCGAAGGCTGTAAGGTCGCTAGAATCTTATGGCCTAAGTTTGACAAAAATAAAACGAAAAGCATTTTAGGCTTCAGCAAACATGCAGTTCGTGTGCTTTCTGGAGTACTAAAGGGGCACTGTGCCATTGCGCGTATGCTCCAACGGTGGCGAATTCCAATAAGTGGATTATGCAGGAGTTGCCAAGATGAAGAGGAGGTAAAATTTATCAACCACTTCCTGTGTCTCTGTCCAGGACTTCAAACAAGGCTACTTTAATGTTTCGGGGATCCTTATTTTACTGGCTTGGAAGAGATAACGAAAGCAAACTTATCGGATCTCCTCAACTTCATCTGGAAAGCCAAATGGTTTAACAAGGATAACATAGATTAGCAACTCGCATCTCCTGGTAAAATTTTTTGAGGGCATCCCAATGGGCAATATATCTCTCCGAGTAGAAGTGCTGACAACTGTCAGCACGTGCCTAACGAACATAACCTTACCTAGTATGGGTGAAAATTTTCACACATATGCTCACCATAAAAATGTATATATCTCGTACAAATCATCCGAGTTATATGTAAATTGATCTCTTAAAATATACATTTTTAGTAAGTACATGATTTTCGCCATCCATCGAGAATCTTGGATGGCACCTGGGCGCCATAGGTAACCATACCTACTACTACAAAATATGTATAGCGTATCGATCCGAAACCTTGCATTTGTCAAGGGCGGAAACTAAAATAGGAGTGATAAATAGAATCGTTCTGTCTGCGTTATCCCAATTTTGTTGAACTGTGACTAAAGATTCAGCATCCATTTTGAGACAAATTTCTTCATCGAATTCATTCCAATTAAAATCAATGAAATTTTTAGTCGCTCTTGCTTCGTTTGCTAAAAGGATATTAACTTCAGTCATACTCCCTGTACGACCATTTTCTCTTTACTTACGAAAAAATTCTTGTTTTGACTACATTTTCAATTCTTCTTAAATATCTATATAAATTATTAAGTAGAAATGTATTATTTTTATTTTTTATTTATGTTTTTTCCGTTTCTTGTAAACATTTGCGATTGCATTGTGCATGCCAGCTAAAAGGTATGAAATAGAAAACAGAGCACAGTCGCTCAACTAATTATTGTGTTTTGCGCATAATTCTTAACCGATTTTGCTCATCCGTATCTTATTAAAAAGATATTTTAATTATCTATCAAATGAGTATATATTAATAACTGTTGAAATAAGATAAAAGATAAAAAATGACCTTGAAATGAAAAATTTCTGTTTTTTGTACTGAAAACCCAACTTTGCTCGAGTGGCGCAACGTCATTTTTAATCCTATTGGTCCAAAACTTTGGAAATATCATTTTTTTGGTCAATGGCACATTCCTAGGGGGTGCGCTCATTAAAAATCGCATTTTAGTTTTTCTGAGCCACCCTAATGTTACATATTCAAAGTTCAGTGCCACTGCACTTAACAAGAAATATAATGCAATATTCAAGTTCAGTGCCACTGCATTTTACCAAATTAAGTAATGCAAAGGAAAGCCAAAGTTTGGATATTGCTAACATCAACATATATGTTCAGATTTTACAATAATTGTTTTACATATAGATAAATATATTTATACTAATTAAATGTGTAAATCTTGATATTGTACAATAATAATAATAATACAATTTTACAATAATAATAATTAAATGTGTGAACATGCTGCCCGCCTTTAATTGACAACATCAATTCTAATTATTTGAAAGCTGCAAGTCAACATGCTGTATCCTCGGTCATCTGTTGATGTCGTGGCGTCGGTATTGGAGATGTTTGATGGGTGATTTTTTGCCTGCATTAATAGCATCAGTTGGAAAACTGGAACTCTGGATGTGGGCTACATAGTGCAAGTGGCAAAATGAGTAGAGTAATAATGGTAAGCAGCAGCCCGGGGTTCAGACATGACCGTTTTGTTGGAGTTATCCCATTGACTAATGATTCAGGTTTTCTGATGCGATTTAATGGAATGTTTACGATAAGCGACACGGGAGGTGACTTTGGAGTTTCTTGAGTCTGTTCTGATTCGATTTTTCTTTCAGTCATTTTTCCAAAGGTTCGATCTTCTAATTTATCGTCTTCAGGAAATAATGGAGCTAATCTATGCACCGGTCTTTTAAATACTCCCTTTTTTGTTTGAATGTCACAAACTCCCACTAAACCATCTTCGCCTTTGTAAACCTTGATGATGCGTCCCAAAGGCCATTGCAGAACTGGGACATTATCTTCCTTAAGGATTACCATCGTATTGGTCTGTATGTTGGTGATTGGACCCTTCCACTTGTGGCGCTGTTGTAATTCGCTTAGATACTCTTTAGTCCAGCGCTGCCAAAAACTGTGTTTTAGCTCTGATACCAGTTGCCAGCGTTTAAGTAATTTTTCTTTAGAGTCACGTGCATGCACATCAAATCTTGAAGTGATTTCTTTACCTATTAAAAAATGTCCTGGAGTTATTGCGTTCAAATCGTTTGCATCTGATGAGCTAGGAATAAGGGGTTGCGAGTTCAACACTGCTTCAACTTCAATAACGACAGTTTCAAGCTCTTGATATGTAAGTGATGCTGTTGAAACATTTTTGACCAGCAAATATTTGGCAAATTTTACTGCTGCCTCCCATAACCCGCCGAAGTGTGGTGACCTTGGTGGAATGAAGTGAAATTCTATGCCTTTCGTACTGCACATTCCTGCAATTGATTCCCTCGCTCGATCAGCGTAGATGACGTCAGTAAGTTCCTGCAACTTGTTTCGCTCCAACGAAGTTGGTCGCATTGTCGCAGTATAACGTTTTACAGCGTCCTCGTCTTGCTATGAAGCGTTTTAATGCTCCAATGAATGCATCTGTGTTCAGATCAGTCACAAGTTCTAAGTGTACCGCCTTGGTTGCAAAACAGCAAAAGACAGCGATATACGCCTTTTGTGGACGCTTGCCTCTTGTTTGTAATAAACCCATATTGGGCCACAATAATCAACTACAGTGCTGAGAAATGGTCGAGCTGGTTGCACACGGTGTCCAGGCAAATTTCCCATGATTTGATTGTACACAATTGGCCTTGCTCTTCTGCATCTTAAGCATTGTTGTATTACAGCTCTCATCAAGCTTTTTCCTTTGAGGGGCCAAAAACACTGCCTCACTTGTGCCAGCAATGCTTGGCGCCACAATGATAATTGTCTTTATGTATTTTTTCTACCAGCAACTTTACTAGTGGATCGTTGCTTGGTAAAATCATTTGATGAATGGCATCAAATTGCAGTGTTGAAGAGCTTAGCCATCCGCCAACACGTATTACCCCTTCTTCATCTACGAACGGAGTTAGAGAACTGAGATTATGAGTTTTTGGCACAAATTCGTTCTTAACTAACATTTTCTTTAGTTCAGAAAAATTAGAGGCCTGGATTTCACGTATTATTACCTTAAGTGCTACGTCGAGCTCCATAGGTGAAAACTGCATGGTCTCTGGTCTTGATTCTTTTGGTTTCCGTGCGTTTTTTGTGAAACGAAGTACATATCCAACAACCTTTTGGACATGTGTAAATAAATTTCTTGAATGAATCGAGTAGACCCACGCATGCTGATTAGTTGGTTGTTGTGTTGATAAAGCGAGCATCACCGTGTTATCTTCAACAATTAATTCCCTTTTGAAGGGAGCTGTCCACAGCGGCTTTGGCTGATATAAAAATAGTTTTTCCACATCAGTTTTTAAAACATATTTGTGCATTCTAAATCTCAGCAAAATCGAAAACAGTTCGTCTTGAACTTTTGGACCATTAAACATTATGTCATTTAGTGATGGCCCTGATAATTTGTGTACTGATGCGTCAAATACAACTCGCAGTTTTGATGTTGAGCTGTCTGGACGTAGCACACAGTGGTGCGGGATGAAATATTGGGGAGATATTATTTCGCTACCGCTGAATTTTGTCATGCCCCCCAATGCTTCATATTCCCTCATAAATGAAACATATTGATTTTTTAGATCAGGATTTTGAATGAAACGGCACTCGATTGTCTTGAACCTTTCGTAAGCGATTCCTTTTGTATCTGGTAACACTGATTTATGATTCTTTAGTGGGAGTTTCATAACAAATCTGCTATCACTTCCTCGAAAAGTGTGTTGCAAAAAATGTGACTCACAACGCAATTCGTCTTCTGTGAGATCCGAAGTTGAATCTGGAATTTCCTCTGATTCCCAGAATTTCAATATAGATTCTTCTAGGTCCTTAGTAGTGCATATGCCACAAGTCACCGTGCTTGAGTTTGAAGTTTCAACATTGCCAGCTACAACCCATCCAAAAATAGAATTCTGAAGTGTTGGAAGACTACCTGCTAGTTTTATTAGACCTTCAATAAGTAACTTGAAAAAGATATCTGCTCCTAACAGGCAATCTATTCGGCCAGGTTTGTTAAAATCTGGATCAGCGAGAGTTAATTCCTTAGGAATATCCCAGCATTCGATATTCAAATACTGCATTGGCCGATCTGAAACGATTTTTGGTATGATATGTGCATCCATCTCTGCTACAAATTCGTTCAACGTTGATTGTACTTGAATTATTGTTTGATGACGTATTTTTGATTCATTTGCTCCTACGCCTTCCATACTCATAAGCGATGGCCTAGGCTTGCAGCCCAATTTTCTTGACAGGCGGTTTGTTATGAGATTGATTTGAGAGCCAGAGTCCAATACTGCTCTGCATTCAATTTGTCTTCCATTTGATGCCAGCAATCTTATTCTGGCCGTCCCTAATAAGACATAATTAGATTCCTTATTGGTATTGTTTGTTAAAAGGGTTATTTTATTTGATGATTGGTTTGAAACTGAAGCTTGACCTGTTTGTTGAGGCGTTGAGTTATTTCCTTGAAGAACAGTACCTTTTGTATATTGATTCCCCTTTGGATTATGCATCAAAGTGTTATGTTTTTTAGAACACTTAGTGCAGTGCCTGGATTTACACTCATCAGCTCGATGTCCAATCCTGAGGCAGTTCACACACAAATTGAACTCCTTAACCCAATTCCATCGTTGTAATAGATTAGCCGTCTCGAATTTTTTGCAAGCGTAGACCATGTGACCGTCTTTATTGCAAATTGGACAAGTTTTAATTAAACCAAATTTTGTAGCTGAAGCACATGTTCGAGTGAATGATGAATCTCCTTTTCCCCTAGCCTCAAGTGATTGAAATCTATGCTCCAAAAATTTTAGCAATTCATCAATGGTTATTAAACGTTTGATGTCTGTTAGCCTTTGTTCGAAAGCTGTTAGAGTTTCTGCATCTAGCTTGCGCAGCAATAGATGTACCAGGATAACATCCCAATGTTCGACTGGAACTCCTTGAGCCTTGAGACCATGTATACATTCCTTGCTTACATCGTGTAGAGATTTTAATGCTGGTGCCGACTCCCTTTTAATGGAGGATGTCTAATTAGCTCCTTTGGCTCGTTATCCAATGATGTAGTCAGATAATGCATTTTTTTGCTGTCACTGATGTCCGTGTTGTGGACCAATTCCATATACAAGTCATTGAATTTCACCCACCGCATATAGTTTCCATCAAATTTTGGTAGTGATATTCTTGGTAGAAGCAACTCGCAATCTGTCTGTCTTGAGTTGCGAATTGTCTGATTATTATGCAAATGTTGTTGCAGTTCGATCATGGCAGCTCCTGCATTTTCCTCGATTTCATAAAACATTTCCAGTGTGTAGTCATCAGTGATGCTTTCGTCGGTGGCTTCCCATAACGTTGTGTTATTTGCCGTTAAATCGACCATATATCCTTCAAGACTGGTTGCCTTTATAGAATAGTATGTAGATGGTTGTTCAACTTGCCTGTTGACCATGATTCCTTCTATCGTTCTTTCAATAACACGTATGAGTGCCTTCTGATTTCGGAGTAGTTTCCGAATGTTTGAATCATTTGTCTGTTTGTTTTGCTCAATTGATGTGCCATTGCTTGCTGAAGATAATTTTTCTAGCTCTATTGCTTCAATTTCTAGAACCTTGTTGTAATCGACAATCATTTTAAGAACACTCTGATACTCTTTGTTCACCAAGTATTCATGGTCGTCAACCTTGTCCGCTGAAGCCATGATTTCCTGATGATTTTCATGATATTCGTCACCCAACCCTTGCAATTCTTAAATCTTGTCTGTATAGAATTGAGAGGTTTTGCGAGGTTTTCCAGCTTTTTTGCAATTACCAATAAATTATTTGATTTTGTCGCCCAATGCCTTTTGGTGATCCACTAGCGAACTGAAACCCATTATCCAGTTAGTTGATTTGTTGATTAACAGCCAATTTCACACCTTGTGAAACTAAAATTGTTTTATTTGTCCTCTGTTGATGCTGACACTAAAGCCTGTATTGATGTGATCGTAGGACACCTTTAAGTCAAATTCGTGTTATTTGTCCTCTATTGATGCTGACACCAAATCCTCTATTGATGTGATCGTAAGACGCCTTTACTCAAATTGGTGTTAAATTATCAAGCGATTCACCTGATAATGAATTTTCACCAAGTCGTGATCCTGAATCACGTCGGTGTCACCAAATTAAATGTTAGTGAACTAACACTTAATAAAATGAATTGACAGCACTTAAACTGTAACTCTTTATTTGAAGGTTGAGTTTTCAGCACTTACACTGAAACTCTAAAAATGAAAGTGAGAGATCGAATATTGATTTCAATCTGATTTTTATTAAATTAAATTCTGCCTTAAATACTAAATTATTACAAATTATTACAATAACAATATCTAAATTTTATTCTTTTCCTTTACCGTTTTCTTGCCCAAAGTGCAAGCTCGGCATATATTATGCAACCAAATTCTTTGTTGTGTCTAGCAACCAAGAATTAATGCCAATGCACTGGCCTTGATATATGTTACATATTCAAAGTTAAGTGCCACTGCATTTTATTAAATTCAATAATGCAAAGAAAAGTCAAAATTTGGATATTGCTAACATCAGCATATATATTTAAATTTTACAATAAATGTTTTGCATATAGATAAATATATTTATACTAATCAAATGTGTAAATCTTGATATTTTGCAATAATTATAATAATACAATTTTACAATAATAATATTTACATATAGATAAATATATAATAATTGAATGTGTGAACATTTACATTTTGACAACCAAATAGCTTGAAATTTGTTCCATTTTTTATTTCGTTTCACTTGCATATGCAGCATTACCATTTCTAAACACATAAATGATGAATAAATTGGGTTAAATTCGGTCATTTAAAGACCATAAAGGATCACTTAAAACTGCTAAATGAGCAAATAAATTATAATTTAGCCCTTAATGATAATTTAGCTCCGTCTGTCAATGCTATAAGGTGTTTCGCTTTTTATACAGATTTTCATGGAACGGCTTTGTGAAAAGTCTGGTGAAAATATCACAACACAAAAATTTAAATTTAAACCAAAATAGCTGATTCACGCATTAACACAAATTTCACTTGAAATAAAATGAGATGTTACGCTCTCTCAGATGCTTTCATTTAATCGAAAATGTCCTGGTGGAACACACTTGTTTATATACAGTATTACTCGAACTTACTACGAGTAGCTAGTGGAACAGACCTCTTATTCGTAGAGAAATTATGCGAAAACATCGTTATATCGAAAATAAAGGGAAAGCACAAAATGCAATTGAACGTGCATCACACAATTAAGCAAACATTTTTGTATGAATAGAGGAATTTGTTGTTATCAATACGATTTTGGGTGCTCGGTATTTACTGCAGAAAAATATTA